TTGTGTAAGTTTCCATCACTATTAATAATTATATCACATGCTAAGTTTTTATCACAATTAATAATTATATCACTTGTGTAAGTTTCTATAACTATTAATAGATTATATCACATGCAAGTTTTTATCACAATTAATAATTATGTCACGTGTAAGTTTCTGTCACTAATAATTATATCACATGTGTAAGTTTCTATCACTATTAATAGATTATATCATGTGTAAGTTTCTATCACTATTAATATATTATATCATATGTGTAAGTTTCTAGTACTATTAATAGATTATATCATATGTGTAAGTTTCTGTCACAGCACAAACAACCTTCCACTTTAGTAAAAGAGGGATTGAGGTTCTACTTTAATATGCTGAGAGACATACCACCTCTGGCAGAAGGTTGACTGGCTTCACAGGACTAGTCATTTTTCCATGCTGAGGGGTAGAGGGCTGCTGAGTGGGTGTCGGTTCTGGACTCTCCGTCCTGCTACTGTTGTCGGTTTTGGTGCTTCCCATCAAATTTGCTATCCAACCCGATGCTAGGTTGCTCTCGCTTCCGCTAAGCCCACTAAACCGTTGCAGACCAGAGGGCTGAAAAAAAAAAACTTTTCTGACCTTTCTATTTTTATAACTGTCCAGATTTTAAAGAAGTCATTTTTAATAATACATTCTAATTAGAAGATACTAAGGTCAAACAAAGATGGAAAAAACCCCAACAAGAATACATGCTTCCTATCTCCCAATACTTGTACACGTATAGTCCTGCCACATGATATACTACAGATTTGTAAGTCTGTATACTCTATCTCCCAATACTTGTACTCATATGTTCCTGCCACGTGATATACTACAGATGTGAAAGTCTATATACAGGAACATAGGTGTACAAGTATTGATTTATGGGAGACAGGGTCACATGATATACTACAGATTTGTAAGTCTGTATACTCTATCTCCCAAGACTTATACACATATGTTTCTGCCACGTGATATACTACAGATGTGAAAGTCTATATACCATCTCCCAAAAATCAATACTTGTACACGTATGTTCCTGCCATGTGATATACTACAGATTTGTAAGTCTGTATACTCTATCTCCCAATACTTGTACACATATGTTCCTGCCACGTGATATACTACAGATGTGAAAGTCTATATACCGTCTCCCAAAAATCAATACTTGTACACGTATGTTCCTGCCACATGATATACTACAGATGTGAAAGTCTATATACTCTGTCTCCCATAAATCAATACTTGTACACGTATGTTCCTACCACGTGACATACTACAGATGTGAATATCTATATACTCTGTCTCCCATAAATCAATACTTGTACACGTATGTTCCTGCCACGTGATATACTACAGATGTGAAAGTCTATATACCCTGTCTTCCATAAATCAATACTTGTACACGTATGTTCCTGCCACGTGATATACTACAGATGTGAAAGTCTATATACCGTCTCCCATAAATCAATACTTGTACACTTATGTTCCTGCCATGTGATATACTACAGATGTGAAAGTCTATATACTGTGTCTCCCATAAATCAATACTTGTACACGTATGTTCCTGCCACGTGATATACTACAGATGTGGAAGTCTATATACTCTGTCTCCCATAAATCAATACTTGTACACGTATGTTCCTGCCACATGATATACTACAGATGTGGAAGTCTATATACTCTGTCTCCCATAAATCAATACTTGTACACGTATGTTCCTGCCACATGATATACTACAGATGTGGAAGTCTATATACTCTGTCTCCCATAAATCAATACTTGTACACGTATGTTCCTGCTACGTGATATACTACAGATGTGAAGTCTATATACTCTGTCTCCCATAAATCAATACTTGTACACGTATGTTCCTGCCACGTGATATACTACAGATGTGAATATCTATATACTCTGTCTTCCATAAATCAATACTTGTACACCTATGTTCCTGCCACATGATATACTACAGATGTGAAAGTGTAAATGCTCTGTCTCCCATAAATCACAACCATTTGGTCTACAAGAACAACCACACAGATGGATGCAGTACACGAACCCTCAACCAAACTTCGAGAAAGCCAATACCTTACAGCATGATGTCTTGACCTTGGCTTGCATGGAATACAAGATTTTGTCAGCCTTGTTCTTCATTGATACAAATTTCCACTTGTGTAACAGGAAACAAAAAGTGATTAATTTAGTAACAAGGATTACAGATTATCTAGTTGTGGAGGTGTTTAACAAATGATTAATTTAGTAACAAGGATTACAGATTATCTAGTTGTGGAGGTGTTCAACAAGTGAATAAATTAGTAACTAGGATTACAGATTATCTAGTTGTGGAGGTGTTCAACAAGTGAATAAATTAGTAACAAGGATTACAGATCATCTAGTTGTGGAGGTGTTCAACAAGTGAATAAATTAGTAACAAGGATTACAGATTATCTAGTT